CCAAGGTGGGTGGATCACCTGAGGTCGGGAGTTCAAGACCAGCCTGACCAACATGGAGAAGCCCCGTCTTTATATTAAAAAAAAAAAAAATTCTGTGTTGTTGATTCTAAACATCCTTTTCTTTTTTACTTCCTTCATTGTTTTCTAAACTTAATGATTCCTTGCCCTTTCACCCTTCTCTTCTGTTTTTCTTTTTTTTCCTTCTGTTTTTCTTAAGTAGACTTTATTACTTAGAGCAGTTTTAGGTTTACAGCAAAGTTGTTTCTTCTGCTTTCTGGTTTGAATTTTTGTGTTAATGTTTTCAATGGTAAAATTTATTTAGATTTATGTTATGAGGTAAGAAGCTAAACTGATTAATTTTCAAAGAGCCTGAACACCATTTACATCTAATCTTCTCCTTCCCTATTGGGTTGGAATCCTCTGTCCCATATTAAATGTGGGTATGTAAGTAGGTTCTGTTGTTGAATTATGTATACAGTGTTATTGATCTCATTGTCCAAAGGAATTTGATTTTGAACATGCTGAAGTGTGAGAATCTAGATGTTGAGATCCACCTAGTAGTTGCATTTCTGGTTGAGGAATTCAAGAGAAATGTCTGGATAATAAATATAGATTTGGGTGTCATTGAAGAATGGGTGGCAGTTGAAGCCACAAATCTGAGTAACTTCCCCCAGGGAGAACATGCAGAGCCATAGGAGCAGCAGGCCACAGAGAAGCCCCAGGGGAGGACACCAGTGTAAGGGCACCGAAAGGAGACACCTAAAGATGGGGATGAGGAGATCCCAGTGAGAGGAGGACACAGACATCAAAGGCAGGCGAGCATTTAAGGGATTGAATGAGACCGGGCATAGTGGCTCACACCTGTAGTCCCAGCTACTCAGGAGGCTGAGGCAGGAGCATCACTTGAATCTGGGAGGCAGAGATTGCAGTGGGCCGAGATCATGCCACTGTACTCCAGCCTGGGCAACAGAGAGAGACTTAGTCTCAAAAAAAAAAAAAAAATACATAAAGGTCAGAACTCCCGTGCTGATCAGTAGTGGGATTGCACCTGTGAATAGTTACTGCACTCCAGTCTGGGCAACATAGCAAGACCCCGTCTCTAAAAAAAATAAATACATACATAAGTAAAGGATTAAATGGATGATTAACAATGTCAGATCCCACAAAAAGCCCAGCAAAGTGAAGAACAAATAATGTCCATAAGATATGCTATCCAAGGAGGCCCAATGACTTCAGCGATATTTGACATCTGGGAAAAAAAGCCAGGTGGATTGAGGAGTGAATTAGAGAAGTAGGAAATGTAGAGCAAGACCTCACTGGCAAGAAATTTCTCCATGGAGGCTGGGCATGGTGGCTCACGCCTGTAATCCAAGCACTTTGGAGGCCAAGGCGGGCGGATCACCTGAGGTCAAGAGTTCACGACCAGCCTGACCAACATGGTGAAACCCCTGTCTTTAAAAAAAATAAAAAATTGTAAAAAAAGAGATTTCTCCATGGAAAGAAGGAAATAAGTAGGGCAGGCCAGGCATGATGGCTCATGCCTATAATCCTAGAACTTTGGGAGGCCGAAGCAGGCAGATCATCTGAGGTCGGGAGTTTGAGACCAGCCTGACCAACATGGAGAAACCCTATGTCTACTAAAAATACCAAATTAGCTGGGTGTGGTGGTAGGCGCCTCTAATCCCAGCTACTCAGGAGGCTGAGGCAGGAGAATTGCTTGAACCTGGGAGGCGAAGATTGTAGTAAGCCAAGATTGCACCATTGCACTCCAGCGTGGGCAACAGGAGCAAAACTCCATCTCAAAAAAAAAATAAAGTAAATAAATATTTTTTATTTTATTTTATTTTTTGCTTTGTTTTGTTTTGTTTTTGAGACGGAGTTTCGCTCTTGTTACCCAGGCTGGAGTGCAATGGCGCGATCTCGGCTCACCGCAACCTCCGCCTCCTGGGTTCAGGCAATTCTCCTGCCTCAGCCTCCTGAGTAG